TTAAATATTTCCCCACTGATCCACCATTTTAAGCTCAAGATTGTTGTTTTTGTCCATAGATGTCTTGCCTCCAATGCAAGCATGCTATTTTCGCCTTTCTTTCTGTTGATCGCTGAACCTGGTCTTGAGCAAAGCACACGCCGTGTTACACGTGGCCAGGTCTCACGTCTTCTCCAAATAAATAATTCCATTCGTTCGTGGACCAGCATCTCGAGCGTCCATGCAATTCGTGGGCAGCGTGTATTGGAACAGGCTTCCGGCAAATATTCGTTGCCATGAAGATAAATCTGGGTTTCAAAGCCCTGCTGTGCCCAGATGTTCTTGACACGCTTTCTCTGTCTTGACTCATTCGTCAGCCTGTGCATTTTGATCTTTTGGTTTGGTCTCTAATCGACAAACTGACTTTTCTCCTCAAATACCTCAACTTCTCTATTTCTGTTTCATACATCTGCTTCGTTTATTCCTTACTCTTTTCTTTCCCTTGTCATTTAATCACTGTCACTCACATACAAATACATAAAATATAAAAGTGGAAGAGAAAAAGACATATGGATACGAGTTAAGAGTAACTCTCCATCACTGTAACATGATACTATATACAGTCAGAAAGTGCAATAACTAGGCACAAAACTGACAGAGTACTGAAACATTCGACGTCCTGACACCTAGCTTCAACACATCTCCGTAGCGCTAACCGACAGCCTTCCAACTTGGAAGGTTCAAGGTTATGGAAAAGACCAAAGAGGGGAAGGCAAGCGCAACGAAAACGAGCAAAAGCTACAGTCCCAACGGAACAAAGAATGTCGATTGTTACTGGACGATGACGAGACCAGTACGATATTTGACAAAGCGGTCTAACTACAATTCGAAGCAGCAAAGCAGCACACCACCCAACTTGGGTGGGTCATAAATATCAAAGATAAGTAAAGAAAGGGAAGCTTTGCGAAAACGAATTGTACAAGCCGAAAGCCAAACTCCTACAGTACTCCTCATGCATGACATTGTGATGGACTAGTTGACTACAAAACATTTTTATGGCTCAACATCCGAGTTTAAAATATAAAACACAAGATTTTCTCATCTTTTTCTATTTCTTGTTTTTCATTAGCTTTAGCATGTTCATTCACATTCTTCATCATTTGTGAGAACTAGACCTGGTCTAGTGAGAAGGCATTCTACTGCCTGTAATTCTGGTGAAGTAAAATAAAGTAACAACAACAACAATTTGTGTTGCTATGACAACTCGTGTGCTGGACGAGTATTTGTTGTCATTGGTTCAATTTCTTTACTCTTCATAGGCTATCAGATCATTTTCCTTATTTGGTCAATTTATAACCAGTATCATGTACTCTTGCCAGTATCAATTATGAGAGCGTGGTCTATCTCCATGGTTACCGATGTTCATTTCATAACTACAGTATACTCTATAACCACTGCTCCTTGTTAGACCTTATCTGGAAGGCCCATTCTTGCATATTCCAACAGCAGCTAAGGGAGCTAGCTCTCTTGGTTTTGCGGACTGGGTCCGATCCTAAAAAGCTGGTTTTATAAACTGTTTTTATAGGATAGGATATGATTATGTTGAATAAACGAGGTTTGTGTCAATTGGAGATTGACTTGGAGTTTTTACGAGTTGATTCTAAAATAATAATAATATCCAGCTGCTATAATTCGACGAGGAGACAATAGTCGTAAAGATGACCCAGTCTAACATCGGAAGCCTCGCTCTATAAGTTCAAAGCTGCCCTCAGGAAATTTACAGCTGACTATGCTTATGCAATCAACGGAATTCCGCCACCTTGCAGTTGATTTTCCCCATTTCTCTCCTCATCAATCCCTACTTCTCTTTGTACATACATCTACATCTACTGTTCTTTCAATCAAAATAATGAACCCCTCGATAGGCACATTGCCTTTGGGTCATTTCATAATAATAATAATAATGACAGTCACAAAGCGTACCCCAAGGTTCCCATCTCGGCCCGCTTCTTTTTAACCTGTGCATCAACTCCTTTCCTGATGCCCCTGCTTCTAGTACCCTATCCCTTTTTGCTGATGACTCTAATTTAATTCTTGTTTCTCCAGCAAACACCTCACTTCCTATCCATCATGCATTGCTCCAGACTGACATTGATAAGTGTTGTCAATGGTCATCAGCTACTGCCATGACGTTTAACACCAGTAAATGCGTCCACCTACCCTTTCAAAAATATGCATTAGCCCCCGGCTAGCCATTGGCGGACTATGCTCGGCCATGGGCCCGGGCCCATGGCCAATCGTCAAAATTAATATGCTTTTGATTATGCCACAATTATGCCAACAAATATGCTGAATTATGCTCGGTTCCACTATGTATTCACGCTGTTCATATAGGATTGAGAAACCACGCATACACACACGGTCATGCCCTAAGCATAATGTTTGTCTAAACCGAAAGATTATGCCGACCTTACACGTTGGAATCCGTATATTATGCAGGAGCATAATTTTTTGACGAAATCCCAAGATTATGCCAAATATGATGCCGGCATAATCCGCCAAGGGCTACTTCAGACTGCAGCTAGCTGGCATGCACATCACTAGACTGTCATCGATCATGTACATGTACATGGTCTTAGGCATAGTATGCGGATAATGCCGGCAGCAAAATTGGCCGAATTCGGTACTTTTTCTGGGAAGTTTCATGCATGTTTGGTATGTGGATAAAGAAATGGAGCAGAATTCGAGGAATTGCCCGCCATAAGGTTTGTATGGTTCTGCCAATTTCACTGCTTTTCGAGCAGAATCTGCCACCTTTTCGAGCATTATCCGCACACCCCTAATGGCCATGGCATCAGGCTTCAAACCATACAGTACAGTCAAGTAGACTCCCAGCAAGTAGGAGATAGGGTCCACGGATTCTGCAGGCAGAAAATTGGCAGAATTCGGTACTTTTTCTGGTAAGTTCCATGCATGTTTGGTATGTGGATAAAGAAATGGAGCAGAATTCGAGGAATTGCCCGCCATGAGGTTTGTATGGTTCTGCCCATTTCACTGCTTTTCGAGCAGAATCCGCCGGTCCCTACCCCCGGCCCGTCATCCCCCTTGACAATGAACCGTGTGCCTATTCAGAAAGGTGATAGCCACTGTCATCTCGGCGTGACTATCACTCCTTCACTAAATTTTTCTAACCATATAAAATCTATCACCCTTAAGTTTCGCAGTCGTGTTTTTCTGTTGCGCCATATGGCCCATTTCCTTTCTGCTTCAACCGTGAATTTGCTCTACAAGTGTTACGTACGACCACTGTTAGAATACGCAGTCCCTGTCTGGTCATTCGCCGTATCCCATTCAGATTCGCTTACGTTAGACCGACTGCAAGCCGTTGCTGCTCGTTCATATCTGCTTTGTAAGACCCGGCACCCTCCTAAGTGGGAAACCCCGAAGCAGATTCTTAATCGTACTTGTGACTGGTCATCCCTGAAGTGGCGTCGTCAGATTCTGTCCTTGCTGTATTTTCATCATGTCTTTTACCAGTTTCCGTCTTTGCTAATTCGTTTCAAATTCAATGTATCCCTTAGTTGTCGTCACCCGTCCTCTATAGTTTTACCTCGTTCTGGCGCCCATTTCCTTAAATCCCCTCTCTTCAGTTTATCTGTGGAATGGAACAAACTTCCAGAACACATCCACTGCGTTCAGTCCTCTGTCAATTTTCGCATTGCTCTAAAGGCTCATTACTCACAGCATAGATATTCTCTGACTGGAATTCCGAACTTTTCCGTTTGAGAAATTTTTTTCCTTGAAATTAATCCTTGCTGGGTTTTTTTCATCTAAATGTCCCGCTATTATCTGCTGAGGTGATTTCTTCCCTCGTCGATTTCTTTCCTGCTTTTATACCTCGATATTTAGGTACTTGTTTCCCTTCTTCCCATGCTTCATCTTCCACTCTCCTCTCCCCCATTTCCCCATTTTTCTTGCGATATTTATGTGGGAGACTTCCGTGATAAGCATCCATTTGCTTTTGGAGAATCCTTTTAAATAAATACAATACAATACAATACAATACAATACAATACAATACAAGAAAACGTTATGGAACTTGACTTTCTTCATTTTTGCTGTTGTTATGAGTGCACAATTTATCTTATTTATTGCCATTTTACGGCTATAATTATTATTATTTTTATTATACATATACATGTGACATTGCAATGTCATGTGACCAGCAACTGTAGCTAGCTGCGGCCAGTGTGGGCATGCAGTGTCTTGGAACAACAGCCTCGTCATCATTATAAATTTATAATCATGACTATTGTGATAGTACACTTCAAGTATTACAAAATAATTGAGAGGCTTCGAATTGTTTTTATCAAAATCTAAATATTTGCCGGGTTGGAACTTGGAAGGTGGGATTGTGATACTCTGATAGTACATGACTGTACGGGTTGTACATGTACATGATTGTATGTTCGTGGAGCGGCGGCCAGAAATTACAGAATCACTCAATCAGTGTTCATAAAAAGGTCGTTGAGGCCGCGATATACATGCCCACCAAATTTAAAAATGTCAGTCTTGACAAAATAATTATAATAATTATTGGTGTTGGTTGGGCCGCGCGCGGTGGGCCATGGCCAGGCCATGCATGGGCGCAGGCCTTGGCCTACAGTCTACACCGCGTAGAATCTACACGTACGTGGCCGTGCCCGCCAGATCAGAGGATCCTACAAAATGCAGGCATAGGATCTACGACTACAGTCCATTCAATGATAAGTGTGCACTCTTTTCCATCCAGTCAAAGGGTCATTGTGTATGCCCGGCGCCCCATGGATTCTACATGTCATGTAGAATCCATGGGGCATACACAATGACCCTTTGACTGGATGGAAAAGAGTGCACACTGGCCCTTTGACTGGAAAAGAGTGCACACTTAGTAGATCTACTATAATGACTGATTGTAGATCTACTAGTACTAGTATAGTACCGTAGTAGGAGCAGAGCAGCATGCATGCAGCGATGCCACGCGCCACTCCTTTCTGTCCTGGATTTGGAAACTCGAAGATTGTTCCGATGGTCCTACGCCGTCGGTCCGAGCCGCTGAGCGGATGAAAATCAAAGTGTCGTCTTCCTACGGTTCCGGTGACTGCATCGCAAATGGAAATGACACACCTGTACCGATAGTGCTACTGCTAGTGCCGTAGTGGTGACCTGGTGACATGCGAGCTGTGGGGACGCGCCGCTTCCGTCATGCGGAGCTTGGGCGGAACTCGACCGATGTCCGGCAGCAGCGGGCGGCGAAATGACGAATCAGAGAAATCGTTGCTGGACACGGCGAACGACGACGACGAGGACGAAGCGGTCGCTGTTGGCATATCTGCAACAAGGCGAATCACTATTCTGGTTACACTGGCTGCAGCAACGATCGGCGGATCTCTCTCATCTATGCAAGCTTTCTACACCACAGCAGCCCTGGACAAGAATCCCGGTGCAGGTCCCGGTTATCACACAGCTATTGGTGGAGTGTACAGTGTTTTCATGGTGGCAGGAGCCCTCGCTCTTCCGATGTTGACCAAAGATCTACCCAATATCGGTAGTAAAAATCTGATTGTACTCAGCCACTTCATCACAGGATCGTCACTTCTGGTATTCGCCAGTATCACCACCATCACCGACTGGCGAGTGTTTATATTTTACTCGTACTGCGTGCGGATTTTGCTCGGCGTGGCATTTGCAATGTCCACGTTTCCCGTAATGACCTATCTGATTGCCATGTACCCGGCAAATCTGGGCTTTGTCAATGCCTTTCAGATAACGTTTCTCGGGATCGGGCATGTCAGCGGCGTTATGTTCGGCGGTGGATTCTACGACATTGGAGGCTTCGAAGCGCCGTTCCTGTTCGGTGGTACGGTAAATGTGATTTGCAGTGTGATACTGTTCGTGATACTAATCGATATCGACACAGTGCACACGGGCCAGAACGGTTCTGAGGACGTGAAAGTGGTTAGTGTTGCCTCGATAGTACGTTCGCCATGGGTGTGCCTCATGGCGTTCACCCTGGTGATGTCAAACATTGGGAACGCTGGTGTGGATTCTGTTCTTGCTCCACGTATGCACAACACCCTGCATTCCCCAGCAGTGGTGGCCGCTGCGGTGATAGCAGTCAAGACGATTGGCACGAGCATAGCGTCGCCGTTTGTCGGCGCTCTGCTCGACAGAGGAGCCAATGCTCCGTTACTCATTATGCTGGGCATGCTGTGTGAGACATTGGGACTTTCCCTTATCGGTCCAGCTGTGTTTGTACACGAGATACCGCCGTTATGGCAGTTATTCGTCGGCGCATTGCCACTGAGTCTTTGCATTGTTCTGCTGCATTCCTCTTGTGTTGTGAGCATGTCACAGCATCTGGAGGGTATCGGTGTGGGAGATCCTATAGAGCTACGTGTCGCTGTGGCCAGCCTATCGCGCTTCTCTCTAAGTATTGGCTACGGACTTGGGTCCGTGATATTCACGTCAATGGTGGCTCTCCTCGGCTTCCCCCTGGCTATGACGGCCATTGGTCTAGTGTATGCGGGATTGGCTGTTCTGATGCTGCCACTATCCTGGCTGCATCATGTTGCTCTAAAGCCTACACACAAACAAACAGACACTATGAACACTGACTCCGCCGATGAAGACCTGTAGACAAAATTTCACAACATTCATTGGGTTTTGACTTGATAGGGTTTTTCCTGGCATATTTTTTGTCTCATGAAGTATCCATTGAGTTCAATGTCAGTAGGACTTCATTTTTCATGACTTCTTATCAATCTAGGTAGAGTCTTGCTATCCTTTATGCACATGCAATGTATCAGTTTATTTTTATTGACAAGTGCTGTTCACCAAACTTTAATGTGCACATCGATGATAGATTATTTAGCGCCATAAGTCTGTAGTATATGTACATGGATGTACGCAGTCATCGGTCTAGAAAAACAAAGCGAAAATTTCCAAACTAAACCGGTTTTCATTCCCTTTTCACTGAATTACATGTAGTTCTAGTGAAGGAAAGTGGGTTTGTCAGCTGATACTATTCAGCTATGAGCTGTTGTCAGTTGACAAGCCCCCTTTCCTTCACTAATGCGGGTGCGTGATGTCCGTGCATTTCTTTTAAAAGTATTATTTTATTCTGCTAGCTCTCATAACAGTTTTATGGCAATTGGGCTTTATGGCAAAACTTTCTGGGACGTGAACTGCCCGAGAAGTGAAACAAACCACCACCGGAACTGGAGCTTCGGGGACCTTGTTTGTCATGAGTTATGCCATAAGAATACATGTATGAGCTATGGGACCAAGCCGATATTAGTGTGCAAACTCTCGCACTCGAAGAGATCCTCCGAAGTGATTCTACTTGTCCAATCATGTAGTCAATCTTCATGACATTGTACTAAAGTAATCCCCATATTCACATGTGGCCATGGAGTTGCCCCAAGACACAGGTAGACTACAACAAGCATTCTATAGTACTCAATCTGCAGTAGATCTACTAGTATGTGATTTTGTTGAAGTAAGTTTGTTACTCGAAGGGCGCAATGGCATGTCCGATCGAGACGACTCCATCGATCCCGGCCGACGGCCATCGGTGCTAAGCCAGGATGGAAATCGGAAGCGTCGACTTCGCAACAATGACTGCATCACCGATGGCAGCTCTGCTGCAGGTGGCCAGGTAACCGGCTAGTTGAGGGCGATCCGCCGCTTCCGTCATGCTGAGCTCGGGCAGAACTTCTCGACTAGTGTCCATAAGCGGGCGGCGTGATGGTGAGTCGGAGAAATCTCTGCTGGACACAGCAAACGAAGACGATGACGGCGAGCTACGTGGTGGTGGCGATGGCGGCGATGGCGGTATATCTCCAACAAGACGAATTATAATTCTGATCTCACTGGCTGTGGCAACTATGAGCAATGATTTGTCGTCTATGCAATCGTTCTACACCACGGCAGCTCTGGCCAAGAACCCCGGTGCAGGCCCAGGATATCACGCAGCTATTGGCGGCGTGTATAGCATTTTGATGGTGGCTGGAGCCATCGCTCTTCCGTTCGTTACCAAAGATCTGCCCAACATCGGTAGTAAAAATCTGATCGTCCTCAGCAACTTCATCACAGGATCTTCACTTCTGGTTTTCGCCGGTGTGACTACCATCAACGACTGGCGAGTGTTCATTGCATACTCGTATTGCTTGCGGGCTCTGATAGGCGTTGCATTTACTATGTCCACGTTTGCAGTGATGACCTATCTCATTGCCATGTACCCGACGAACCTCGGCTTTGTCAACGCGTTCCAGATGACGTTTCTCGCCATTGGCCACGTTAGCGGCGTCTTGATTGGTGGCGCACTGTACGATATCGGCGGCTTCAAAGTACCGTTCCTGTTCGGCGGTGCTGTCAATGTGCTGGTCAGCGCGATACTGTTTGTGTCACTTATTGATATCGATACTGTGCACGCTCGGAACAAGCACAATTCTATGGAAGTGAAGGTGGTTGGTGTTGGCTCGATAGTACGTTCGCCATGGGTCTGTCTCATGGTGTTCACCCTGGTCATGTCGAACCTTGGAAACGCTGGCGTCGACCCTGTTCTCGGCCCACGCATGCGCAGCACGCTGAATTCCCCAGCTGTGGTGGCTGGTGCGGTGATATCCGTCAAGGCCATAGGCGCTAGCGTAGCATCGCCTTTTGTCGGCGCTCTGCTCGACAGAGGAGCCAATGCTCCGTTACTCATCATGCTGGGTATGCTGTGTGAGACGTTGGGACTTTCCCTTATCGGTCCAGCTGTGTTTGTGAACGGGACACCGCCACTATGGCTGTTATGTGTTGGAGCTTTGCCGCTTAGTCTGAACAACGTCTTGATGCAAGCATCTAGTGTAGTAAGCATGTCACAACATCTGGAGGGTATCGGCGTCGGAGATTCCGTAGAGCTACGCGTCGCAGTAGCTAGTCTATCGCGCTTTTCTCTGATTGTCGGCTACGGAATTGGGCCGGTGACATTTACGTCAATGGTGGCTGTCCTTGGCTTTCCTCTGGCCATGACGGTGATTGGTCTAGTGTACGCGGGTATGGCTGTTCTAATGCTGCCCTTATCCTGGCTGCATCATGTTGCTCTAACGGTTGCACACAAACAAGCTGCCACAGTCAACACTGACTCGGACGATGAGGACCTGTAGTGTAGGCGAAATAATTTCACAGAATTCTTGAGTTTTTTTTAAAACGTGATCGGATTGTTCCAAGCATTCCTATATTTAGCCTGATTATGCTCACTCAATGTGAGTATTTCTTCGGAGGCATGTTTAAAGAGAATGCGAGCGCTACCTGGCAATACTAACAGTGTATTGACAATATCAGCAACTTTATACTTCTTACTTGATATCATGACTGTTTGTCCCATGTCAAGAGATCGAGAGAGATATTATATACTTCGGTAACTGTTGACACAGTGGTCCCACTGTCATTAGGCGATTTGCCTGTTCAGGTTGCACTCTACACAAATACAATTAATTTTAATACTAAAATGTACTGTTCACTGGTTTGAAGAAAAGACACAAACGGGAAACGTCTGAACAAAAAAATCGACTGTCGCCACCAGGATTCGAACCAGGGACCTTCGCTTTATCTTTGAGGCCAGCGATGCTCTAACCGGTGAGCTAAGGTGTAGCCGTCATCCCAGCACAAATAATGTTCCCGTGGTTAGTATAGTTGGAATCCGTATATTATGCTGGAGCATAATTTTTTGACGAAATCCCAAGACTATGCCAAATATTATGCCGGCATAATCCGCCAAGGGCTATGACAAGGAGTTGTAACTGGGGTATTTAAAAAAAAATCTGCAGGCTTTCTGGCAAAGCTGTATTATGCCCCTGAGCATAATTTTTTGCCTAAACCGAAAGAGTATGCCGACCTTACACGTTGGAATCCGTATATTATGCCGGAGCATTATTTTTTGACGAAATCCCAAGATTATGCCAAATATTATGCCGGCATAATCCGCCAAGGGCTACATGTACATGTATGTGTGGTTTCAGCTGCCATCGTGTGTGAGCCCTTGGTCACCATAGTCACGTTGGGCCTTGTCCACAGCCTTTGTAGTTTTTTGGGGCGGCTTTTTTTGTTGTCTTTTTCCGTCAGTGGCAAGACGAGTTCGGTGCCATGCTCCATGCAAGTCGGCGAAATTAATTATTTCTGTGATGTGGTACAGTGTAACTAATTTCTTTACTTGCATGACGTCGACAGAGAGTACACATGTACATGTACATACTAGCAAGAGTACATAACTGGGGGTTAGGGACCGGCGGATTCTGCTCGAAAAGGTGCAGCAGATTCTGCTCGAAAAGCAGAAAAATTGGCAGAACTATACAAACCTTATGGCGGCCAATAGGGCTTGAAAGTGCTACGTCACAGCATAGCAACAATTATTTCAAAAATTCAAAAACTGGATCCACTTGGATCCAGTTTTTGTATGGATCCAAGCACATTTCAAGCGGTCTTACCCACAGCATGGTGATGTACCCAGTGAAACTGACTGATTTGGCTACTGGGGGCGGGGTTACAACTGGTGGCGAAATAAAAGTCACACCTGCATGCAACATGAGTGGGTTGCTATGCACCCACATACTTAGGCAATAGCAAAGTCACACCTTAGTGGATCCAAAAATAGAAATCTGATGTCAACTTACTACTCCCTGGCCGTTTCGACGTCATCACTTTCAAGCCCTATTCCTCGAATTCTGCTCCATTTTTCTATCCACATACCAAACATGCATGAAACTAATTACCAGAAAAAATGCCGAATTCTGCCAATTCCAATTTTCCTGCCGGCAGAATCTGCTGGACTCTACTGGGTAGACCCAGGTGCTCGAAGTCCGTACATGGTATCCTAAGTTCGTACGCCCATAATTTCATGTTCTGTTATTGTATTCGACTCAAATATTTTATGGAGGGGACAGTGTGGTATGTTCTCCTCGCGTACCAATTTTCAGGGATCTACGATCAGCAGAAGTCCCATACCACGGGAGTGGGTTTTCGAGTGTCCATACGAAATACAAATTGGGTTACATTTCATGCAAAAATCAACTTTGCCAAGACCGATTTCGAACGGACACAGCGTCAAACAGACCTTCACTCAATCATCAAGAGCCAGCTTAGAGCTGACAATGGCCAGAGGAGAAGAATTTACAGAGAACCACCAATCCTTGCAGAAAGGTTGACACTCCTGGCATCTCCACCACTGTTTTCCCGCGGTTTTCACAGCGCAGCTGCTTCTTCTCTGAGCCGACTAAAAACAGCTTGCATTTCGGCAACAAACTACGCTTTTGCAAGAAATACCGGTGGAGGCACATGCCAAACATATCCCTTCGGTGCTTTCGTCGTAACCGAGGGATTGCAAGTTAGCAATTAGCAGAAATATGTGTGTATTTCGAGTCACCTCTGATCAGTACGGACTTAGAGTACCCTCTGCGACACCAAATTTTGATATGAAAAATGAGCGAACTCCAGAGAAACAGATCGGATCGAAAGATGGCCTGGTTCAATCGAGCCCGGCCTCAAAACAAACTTGGACAAGATACCTTCCATCCACGAGCAGGATTCTGGCAAGTGATCATTGCTAGTGTGAGTTTCAGCTCGGCAAACACACACTATAAACGTGTACGGACTTCGAGCACCTGGGTCTACTCTTGATACTTCCGGTAGTAGCACCGTCGTGGACATAGAAATCCGTTCGCACGTCTAGCGACCCCAGGGCGCTGGCCATGCAGCCGTGGACAAGCGTTGGTCGCATCGATCGGCCGATCCGATCGGATCAACACACAGACAACAGTCACCACAACACTGCATGCCCCAAGCGTTCCGTACGCTCTGAGGGCGCCGGCCCCGGTCGACTGGATTTCCATGTCCACGACAGATGTCAGTAGTACTAGTAGCACTAGTAGAGGTCTGCTCAGTACTCGAGTCAGTAGATTCACTTCCTCGACGTCGACAACAATGACCGTCTGTTCCGACCGTGAATGAAATCAAAGTGTAGACGCCGTAACATAATCGGCTGCCCTGCAAATAATAATGAATGGGGGATAAGTAGGTGCAAGGCTAGCTGTTTTGTGAATCACCGCTTCCGCGATCCGTCATGCGGAACGCAAACGACGCTCGACCGATGTCCGGAAGCGGGCGGCTCGATGACGAATCGGAGAAATCTCTGCTGGACACAGCAAACGAAGACGATGACGGCGAGCTACGTGGTGGTGATGATGGCGGTGATGGTGGTATAATATCTCGAACAAGACGAATCCTTATTCTGGTTACACTGGCTGCAGCCACTATGAGCGGAGATCTCACGTCTATGCAATCGTTCTACACCACGGCAGCTCTGGCCAAGAACCCCGGGGCAGGCCCAGGGTATCACACAGCTATTGGCGGCGTGTACAGCGTTTTCATGGTGACAGGAGCCATCACCCTTCCATTCTTTACTAAAGATCTGCCCAACATCGGGAGTAAAAATCTGATCGTCCTCAGCCACTTCATCACAGGATCATCACTCCTAGTATTCGCCAGTGTCACTACCATCACCGACTGGCGGATATTCATTCTCTACTCGTTCGCCGTACGGATTTTGCTGGGCGTTGCGTACGCAATGTCCACGTTCGCCACAATGACGTATCTGATCGCAATGTACCCGGCGAATCTTGGCTTCGCCACCGCGTTCCAGATGGGCTTTCTGGCAATCGCCCACGTCAGCGGGGTTATGCTGGGCGGCGCACTGTACGATATCGGCGGCTTTGCAGCACCGTTTCTGTTTGGCGGTGCGGTCAATGTAACGGCCAGCATGGCGCTGTTTATTTCACTTGCAGATATCGACGATGTACGCAGCAGCGCGCAAAAATCTCAGACGGTGAAGGTGGTGGGCGTTGGTTCGATATTGCGTTCGCCGTGGGTGTGGGTGATGGTGTTCACTCTGCTCATGTCGAACATCGGCAATGCCGGCGTGGATCCTGTTCTTGGCCCGCGCATGCGTAGCACGCTCGACTCCCCTGCTGTGGTGACCGGTGCGGTGATCTCGGTCAAGGCAATAGCGTCGACCGTAGCGTCACCATTCGTAGGCGATCTGCTGGACAAGGGAGCCAATGCTCCTTTACTCATCATGCTGGGCATGCTGTGCGAGACACTGGGACTTTCCCTTATCGGTCCAGCTGTGTTTGTACACGAGAAGGCGCCGCCACTATGGCAGTTATTCGTTGGGGTTCTGCCGCTTAGTCTGAACCATGTGCTGATGCAAGCAGCTAGCGTTGTCAGCATGTCACAACATCTGGAGGGTATTGGCGTGGGAAGTGCTGCTGGGCTGCGTGTCGCCGTGGCTAGCCTATCGCGCTTTTCTCTGACCATCGGCTACGGACTTGGGTCTGTGATCTTCACATCAATGGTGGCTCTCCTCGGCTTTCCCCTGGCTATGACGGTCATTGGTCTAGTGTATGCGGGATTGGCTGTTCTAATGCTGCCACTATCCTGGCTGCACCATGTTGCTCTAACGCTTGCACACAAACAAGCTGACACTGTGAACACAGACTCCGACGATGAGGACCTGTAGGCGAAATTGATAACTTTTTGTTGAGTTCGCATTGGCATGTTGTCATCTATTGTTCGTATCATGTGCATCCTGATGCACACACACACGCACATGCACGCACACACAAACACACACACACGCACATACATGTATGTACGCATTCACAATTATGTGTGCGTGGCAGCTCACAAACTTCCACAAATCCGTGCCCCTATTTATTCATCTTCAGAAGGTCAACCAATATAGAATGTGGACAATTCGCCATCACATGTACTTGTACATGTATATGTAGCTGAGCTTACACATAATAATCATACAGAAGCGTAAAGGCTGGCGTTGCCGCCGAGGACGCGATGTGTTCTTTCCGATAAATTATTATTTTTATTTAATAAAAATAGGAAATTATGATGTTGGAGCATCCATTGGACAGGACATAGGCTAGTTGTGTCACAATTTCGTTTTGAAGTTCATTTTCATTTTCCGATGATTGTTTTTCAGGCAGTATTCCAGTGCACATGTTCGTTGTCTGGCTAACATTACTGCAGTATGGTACGGGTGCCAATGCCAATGGGCCCATGGTGACGCAGCCACAGCAGGCTGTGTGCTGACGGAGATACCTCTTTTCACTTTATGTGCCGGTATGAAGGGGGCGGGGCCACTTGGTTTTTATGATACAGCCGCAGTTATTTCAAATCTATGTCTCACGCTGGCCTGTGGCCAAGAGGAGATATTGTTGTTGTTGTTGTTGTTGTAGTCGTAGTTGCCGTCGTCGTTGTTTGTTGTTTGATAGTGTTAGCTCGGCTTGCTTTAAAATCTCGTAGCTGTACTGATGCATGAGGCATTTATGGTCGAAAAAGCTTACTCGGGTAAAGTGAATTACCAAAACAGGCGAAGTCTAGTTATTTTACTATAACCAGGACAACGACCATCACCTCCAACACTAACCGTAGCTGTACTGATGCATGAGGCATTTATGGTCGAAACAGCTTGCTTGGGTAAAGTCAATTACCAAAACAGGCGAAGTCTAGTTATTTTACTATAACCAGGACAACGACCATCACCTCCAACACTAACCATGCTGCTTGCACTGGCCAAATGCTGTTTAAGGACAGAACCTATGACTCCCGGACGGGTTTTAGTGTTGAAACCAGTAATATATTTCGTAGAGGTTTTTGGCTTTTGAACCCTGCATATATGATGTGAATAAGTCGATTGCTAAACTATAAAGGACACAAGGGAGTGACTGGTGAATCACTGTCCTACACCACCACTGTAACTAGATCATGAGCTACTAGAAACGTGGAATGGCTGGCCGCCAAACGGACAGGCTAGTGAGGCATTCAGCCAAGTTACCCTACATGTAGTTCTAAGATAATCTCCAGTGTGTAAACAAAGAGCCATCCGACTTCGACAAGGACCAGAGGGGAAAGGGAGCGCAAAAAAATGTGCACAAGCCAAGTCCCACAGTAGCGGAGAATGTCACCTGTTACAGGACGACAACGAGACCAGTTTTAGACTTGACAATCCAGTCTGACTGCAATTAGAAGCAGCGAAGCAACACACAACCCAACTTGCTCAATATCCGACTTCAAGTTGATTGTGAAAAAATAGCATAAACTCAATACACGGCGGCACTACAGATTGTCATTGTCCCCTTCATCTGTGTTGTCGCTAGTTTTAACTATGTCAGCGTGTTTGTGCAAGACATTAAGAGCGACATGGTGCAGCCAGCTCAGCACCACCATTCCAGCAGCCAGGCAAAGATACGCAAGACCAATGATGGTAAGAGCTAGCTGAAAACCGAGAGCGCCCACCATCGGACTAAAGACGACGGGACCCAGGGCAAATCCCACGGTCAATGCCCACCTGGACAGCCCGGCGACCGCGACGCGCAGCTGTACGGAGTTACCCACCCCGGTCTGTTCCAGGTGTTGAGACATACTCACTACGCACGGGGCCTGCATCAATACGTTCCCGATGCTCAGAGGCAAGATGCCGACAAAGAACAGCCAAAGCGAAGGTGATATGTGTAAGAATGTAGCTGGAGCCATTAGGAAAAAGCTCAGAGAATCCAACGCTAAACCAGCTGTTATCATGATCGGAGCACTAAAGCCCCGGTCGAGTATTACGCCGACAATGGGAGGAATCAGCGTAGATGTAACTCCCTCCGTTGTCAGGACAGCTCCGACTACGACGGCCGGGGAACCGAGTCTGTTCTTCATGCGCGGGCCGAGAACAGGCTCGATGCCGCTATAGGCCATGTTCCTCAAGATGAGCAGGAACACCATGAGCAAAACCCACGGCGATCGCAGAATGGTGCTCACGCTCACAACCTGCTCAGTACGGCCATTTCCGCCACTGCACGTGGCCTTTCCGGACTTTGCCTTCAACTCGTCCACATCAACGAGTAACAGTAGCACTGCTGCCGATGCGAGCAAGATGATAGCGCCGGATGTCAGGAATGGTGCCTTGAAACCGCCTACATCGTACATCGCGCCGCCGAGCAGGATACCGCCAATGTGCCCGCTGGACAGGAACATCATCTGGAAGCCGTTGACGAAACCGAGATTGGCGGGGTACAGCCGGGTTAGATAGGACATGACGGCCACTGAGGATGTGACGTACGCAACGCCCTGCAGTATGCGTATACAGTAACAATAGACTAGAAACACGCGCCAGTCCTGGATGTCACCCACATAGGCGAACATCAGCTGTGTCGCTCCCGTCACGAAGTAGCTCAGGACCATCAGGTTCTTACTGCCGATGTTAGGCAAGTCTTTCGTAATCAGCGGAATGACTACGGCTCCCACGACGTATGAAATACTATACACACCACCGACTGCCGTGCGATACACAGCTCCGGTGTTAGGTGCCTTCTCCAGCGCAGCTGTGAAGAAGAACGCTCCGAACGCATTCAGATTACTGCTGAACGAGGCTCCAGCCAGCGTGACTAACACGAGCAATCGCATGCGAGCAGACAAACTATCAGCAACTCCTCCACCCGGATCGCCATCATCCTCGGCATTTGCACTGTCCAGCAGGGAAGTCCTTGATTCTTCATCGGTCGACATGACTAGTTTTCCCTTTCCTGTTCCCCTCTGACGGCTGTCACAGATTTCCGTATCTGTCGGCTTGGTTGCTTCAGCTCAATGCACAATCTTCTATCGCCGCAGTACTGACTACAGGAGTGATGGCGATACTGTGCTGGCCTTTCTTTCTACAAATAATTCCATTTCTTCCCACTTCATCGCTTCTTTTCTATCGCCTTACGATCACCCTCATTTGTTTCAAGATTTCCGAACGAAAAAAGTAGCCGTCTTGCATGACATGCATGCATGTCAGACTACTGTCACCTATGCACTCGAGTTGAGGCGTAGATCTACGGTATGCTACACAAAATCCTCACTCACGATCGACTGCTGTATCCAGTATGCCAGTGCCAGACCAACCATGCGGACTGTGGCAGTAGTCAGTCATGTACTACTAAGTAGTACTAGTACTACGCTGCAGTACTGTAACATCAATCAGTGGAGCAAGAAACTCTTGAGTTGCTAAACCTCCGTTGTGCCTTTTGTGTGTAGATCTACCATCAGTCCATCAATCATGTAGTCTTGTAGACCTCCGTCATGACTTTTACTGGACTGAAAGCGAAGCTTCGAAAGCGGAGTAAAAGAGGCTCCGATATTATTTTTAAATTTAATTCTGTACTCAGGTCGGGACGATCCAGAGAGGCGCGCTCGCTGCGTGGACTCCGAGCCAGCGAGGCCGGCAGTTCAGAGTCAGACACAGAGTGCACCTTCCACGTGGCTAGGGACGATGCTCAGCAAAACTACTTTACAGCCTGCAGAGAACATTGTCAAGGTGGCCCTATCTCGAGCACCTGTGCTTCAAGAGCACTTTGAAAGTCACTTGCGGAGAACTTGCGGAGAAGTGGTACTATTAAAGCAACTGTAGAAAGCGACACAGTTTTGTGCATCTCTCTGACAGCCACTTTAGATAATAATTATTATGTCATGATGATGAGTTGATATGCCTTGTGTTTCTCAATCACATACTGTGAGTCACATAGTCCGCAAGATGATAGAAGTGACAGTTGCGCATGGAACGCTCTCCATGCACGAGATAGCGGTAGCGACTTCGGCGATGATTTCATAGGAAAATGTGCGGGGAGCACCTTTTCCATTCTCAATGCATTGCAACAGCTTCTCAGATCGCTGCAATCCCCAGTGGCCCACTGTTGCTGATACCCGCTACTTTAAAACTATGTCAGTTTCCAATCAAAATCCAATAGAAACCAAGGTAGAACCATAACGAACACGGCACAGAACAGAACAGTAAAACAGGAAACAGAATACGATCTGCAACAATCCGAACATGATACGAGATAATTATATATATGTGTAATGTACATGTATATTATTAGGACGAAACAGTTCTGTCCGCAGATTGAGTATTTCGCTCCTGCTGTTGTAGCAGTTGAGCACTCTTGCGTGGGGTAGTGCCTTTGCTGTTTGCGTTATGCAGAGCTCACTGACTTGTCAGTTTGAGCACTCTGGCAAGGTACGTTCGGGCCTGATTGGAAATTTTTGTTTCCATTGCTATCGGGTTCGGCCTCATTTCCTCTGTGCTGCGCTGACGAGTCCACAAAGGACGAAACAGTTCTGTCCGCAGATTGAGTATTTTTTGTAATACTGAAATACACAGTCCAGCAGAGAACAGAATGGAAAGACGGAACCAAAGAGGAGACATGACAATACAGCGGGAAGCCGGAGCAGCTTGCTGGTGAATTATACTGAGACATTCATCTCTAAAACACCTTCACCACCATAGCCACGGTCTTTCACTGCAAAGTGCAATTGTTGTAATTGTTATATCGGGTTCAGCAAAGCACAATCACAGGGTCGGAGAAAACTACCATTACAAGTACATCTGGAAGAACAGTCCGAAAACAAGCAAGGCGCGGGAAAAGAACCCCGCTCCACTAGAAGTTATGCAGATTCAGAGACCGCGCATGCGGACTGGTGTACACACAATAATGATGTCATGCACCTACACATACACTGCAATCTCCCCCTTCAAAAACACAAGGGAGAGCCTAACACTAGTAACAGAGGGAAGGACAGTGTGCGAAGAGTGAGCATTATGAGAAGGCGGCTGAACATGAACAAGAGAACAGAGCGGTGCTCTAGAATAGTTCAGTCCCTGTAGCGCTGTGGCTTCAGTGCGTGACGCCTTGATGGCGTCCGAGCATCACGTTGCTGAACTACCTTCTCAGGATCAGAGGGAAGCTCAGGAGTCGTTGCAGGATCACGAACACGCAGCTGGTCCACATGTCTACGCACAATGACACCATTGGCCAGCTTAACTTCGAAAGACTTGGTGCCTTTCCGCTGCAATACGGTGCCAGCTGACCACTTCTGAGGCTGGTTGAACATCCGCGCATAGACGGCGCTGCCTTCGTCCAACCCTTTTGCTGGCGGCTGGTGGCAGGCAGCGGTGGTGGTATTCTTGGCTTGCGGCTGTACCAGGTGCAGTCTGGTCTTGAGCTCCCGTTGAAGGAACAATGCCGATGGAGTTTCTCCTGTTGTCGCGTGAGGAGTCGAGCGATACCGTTCCAAGAACGTCTGCAGTGCCTCGGTCCAGGACAGTAGACCACGCTTCTCACTCAACAAGGCAGCTTTGAATGTTTGGACACAGCGTTCTGCAGCTCCGTTGGTTGCGGGGAAGTATGGTGCACTGCGCAGGTGGATGATACTTCTCTCAGCCATGAAGTTGCTCCACTCCACGGACGTGAACTGCGGGCCGTTGTCCGTCCCGATTGCATCAGGAGAACCATACGCCGCAAACAGCTTCCGGAACTCTGCGATAGTCGTCTTGCTGGTGGTGGAGGACATAGGAATCACTTCCAACCACTTGGAGAATGCATCAGTCACGATCAAATACATTCGTCCTTCCATTGGTCCAGCAAAATCGGCGTGAATGCGACTCCAGGGTGCTGCTGGATTGGGCCAACGTGTCACCTCCACTGGTTGATCACGATTCCTGTTCACTTGGCATGCATGGCAGCTTCGGACGGCTCGCTCCACGTCGCTGTCAAGACCTGGCCACCATACATGGTTCCTTGCCAAAGCCTTCATGCGCACCATACCAGGGTGTGCAATGTGTAACTCTTGAAGGAGCCGGGGCTGAAGCGTGCTGGGCACCACAGTGCGAAATCCTCGCTGAAGGCAGCCCTGCACTACTGTGAGCTCCTCTGCGATGCGGTGGAAGGGCTTCAGCTCTGAGGGGACAGTCTCGGGCCAACCATTGGCGACATGCTGCAGTACCTGCTTGAGCACGATGTCCTTGGCCGTCTCTGCACTGATGTCTGCTGCGAGGACTGGCAGCTGATCCTGGTGAGTCGTCAGAATCTCAGACACCTCACACACATCAACGCTATGCGAATCAAGCGACATGCGTGACAGGTAATCAGCGTTGGCGTTGGCTTCGGTCGTCTTTACCATTACATCGTATTGATACGCTGATAGTGTTACAGCCCAACGCTGCAACCGCATGGCTGCGATTGAGGGGATGCCTCTCTTTGGACCGAAGATTACGGCAAGAGGGCGGTTGTCGGTCACCAGGTTGAAGTGCCGTCCATAGAGGTACAAGTGGAACTTGGTGACACCGAACACGATAGCAAGCGCTTCTCGTTCCAGTTGGCTATAATTGCGCTCGCTGGTTGTCAAAGAGCGGCTGGCGTATGCGATTGGTTGCTCCTGCCCTTCCGGCATCACATGGGACAAGACAGCACCAATTCCTGTGCCTGATGCATCGCAGGTCAGACGTAGCGGTAGCGAAGGGCTATAATGAACTAGAACTGGTGGTGCACTCAGAGCTGACTTCAAAGCTCTGAAGGCTTGCTGCTGTGGCGCTTGCCATTTCCAGACGGTGTTACGCTTCTGGAGATCGTAGAGAGGCTGTGCGAGCGAAGCCAGGTTCTCAATGAACTGGCCATAATAATTCACCAGACCCAAGAATGACTTGAGCTCCGTGACATTCGTCGGTGCACGTGCGTTCTGAACCGCTTGCACTTTCTCATCGGTGGCGTGTAGACCCGACGCGTCAATTTTGAAGCCGAGGTACTGGACTGAGTCGGAGAAGAACATGCATTTCGATTTCTTTAGCTTCAGACCGGCTTGCAACAGAATCGACAACACCGTGTTCAGACGTTCCAGCAGTAGTCTGCGAGTGGGTGCAGCGATCAGGATGTCGTCCAGGTACTTGGACACGCCTTCCAAGCCAACCAGGAGCTTGTCCATGATTCCTTGGAACACCGCTGGAGCCGATGCAATACCGTAGGGCAGACGATTGAACTGGTAGAGGCCCTTGTGCGTGTTGATGGTAGTCATCTTCTGGGACGCCTTATCCAACGGCACTTGCAGATACGCCTGCGACAAATCCAGCTTTGCAAAATATTTGCAGCCATTCAGGGAGCTGAAGATGTCCTGCGCTGTCGGCAGTGGGTGCTGGTCCACTCGTAGTTGGGGATTCACAGTGACCTTGTAGTCACCGCAGAGACGAACTGAGCCATCGGGCTTTGGAACAGCCACTACTGGTGTTGCCCACTCGCTGTGCTTGACAGGCTCTATAATGTGCTGCTGCTCCATCTTCCTGAGCTGCTCCTCAACCAAGGGCTTGACAGCGTATGGCACTGAATAGGGACGCCTGAACACCGGTCGTGCGTCCTCTTTCAGATGCAAGGTAGATGCGCCTGTTCGCAGCTCACCAACGTGGCCGTCAAACAAGGTCGCGTTGTCCGCAACTATCCGCTCCAAATCGGGTCCATCCGTAGGTTCGTCAACCCCAAACACGGATGACCAGTCGAGTCGGACGTGTGGCAACCAATTCCTTCCGAGCAGTGTAGCACCCTCGCCTTCAACAATGAGCAGTGGCAATGGCGTTGTACGGCCATCATAGCATACCTCCACTGTGGCTTGACCCAACACATTGATTTCATCACCTGTGTACGAGCGCAGCTTGATGTTAGCCGGTTCGAGTTGTTTGTCACTGGTACGGTCCCACGTCTCACGTGACATAAGGCTCACTGCAGCTCCGGTGTCGAGCACCATTGTCGTTTCCACCCCGTCTAACATCACATTCACAGTTAGCTTGGGACGGGACTCTACGGAGTACACATCACCAACTTCATGCTCCTCACATACAAAATTGGTTTGGTGTTGGTCGCCCTTTTTCGTACGACACACCTTCTCGAGGTGCCCACGCTTGTGGCAGTAGTGGCACTCGGAAGCCTTGAAGCGACACTGTGAAGGAGCATGGTCCTTATTG